ACTGTATGACCTTTCACAGGTATTTAACCTTTCTATGCCTCAATTTCCCAGTCTGTAAAATGGTGCCTACCTCACTGGGTAATTGTGAGGATCAAATGAGATAATACATATGAAGCAAGAAAGAACTCAGTAAACATAAACAATTATTATTATTAAACTAGTACAAACCAGTAACTGATAACATTTATTGAGAGTTCATTACATGCCGGCATTGTTACTGTAAAGTGAGTATTATTACAGTCTTCATTTTACAGATAAGAAAAACCCAAACACTGAAAGGTAAAGTTACTTGCCCCTCATTGCATAGCTATTAAGAGGTAAATCTTGGGTTTAAGCCCAGGCGGTTTGACTCCAGAATCTATCTATACTGTTTCTCAACTCATGCTAATTATAGAAAAATGAGAAAACATGGATATGAAAAAGAAAAAGTTTTTAATTCTATCATCCCCAAAACCAAACGCACTGCCGTTGAGTCGATTCCAAGTCATAGACACCTTCTGGGACAGAGTAGAACTGCCCCATAGGGTTTCCAAGGTGTGATCTTTAAGGAAGCAGACTGCCACATCTTTCGCCCATGAAGCGGCAGGTGGGTTCAAACCGGTAACCTTTCAGTTAGCAGCCGAGCACTTAACCACTGTGCCACCAGGGCTCCTGTTTAATTCTATTACCTGGGGAATAAACAGATTTAGATATTATTTCTTAATATCATTTTTTCTAGGCTTATATATTTTCCCCAAAATGTGATCATTCTGTCAAAAAATGTGGCAGTCTGCTTCCGTAAAGATTACAGAGTTGGAAACATTCTGGGGCAGTTCTACTCTGTCCTATACGGTTGCTATGAGTCGGAATCAATTGGACAGCAATGGGATTGGTGATTAATTAGAGAGAAACTACTCTGAATAAAGCAGGTGCAAATATGGCTGGCCAAGACTTCTGCTAATTCATCTTTAGTCCCTTAAATTGAAGTAGTTTTTATTCCATATTTATCTGATAGTTTTCAAAGTGTACTACAGTTTTCATTAGAATCTAAGCAATCATAAATGAGGTCTAGAAACATAATTACAGCAGTTTAAAATGTCAAGAGGAATATGTTTTAATACTCCAAAATAACAAAATAAACTTCTGGATAAAGAAAAAATTTAAACCTAAAATCTTTAAGGAATTCACAAAAGAGCAACATACTTAGCTCCATAAAATTAAAATATTATGTATGTCAATATCCAACATAAATTTAAAGGACAAAGAAGAAATCAGAAAAAAACCTTTAATTGTAAAATAATGAAAACAATTAAAATTAATATTCCTAATGTACTTTAAAAACATGTAAATGGATAATAAAAACATCTAAACTGCATTAAATAAAAGGGAAAAATATAGACTCTGTTAATTTAAAAAATGATAATAACAAATAAAAATTAACACATGAATAGATATCATATTAACAATCAAAAGTGCAAACTAAAGCAATAAAATAACATTGCCATATCAAATTAATAAAGCCTAAGTGTTTAGAGTTTATTACTGGCATTGAGAATGCAGGAAAAAAGTTCATTTTACACTATTCATGCTAGGTGCAATGGTATAACAGTATGAGTCATATTTTAAGGGTGTCTTCCTTCCCGGACAACAGACTCTTCCTTCTTTTTTACGAATGCCTGAATACCCCAGGGCAAACTCATCCTTCCACAGGGTGTGGGACCTGGGAACAATGTTTGTCCTTCTGGAACACACTGATACCCATGGAAAATCAGAATTTTTCTTTATAAATGTAGGATGAGTGGCAACAAGATAGTCTCCTTGACTGGCTGAAAGTTTAAGGAGTGATCTGGAGATCTGTGAGGTGGCCGTAGGTGGAGATCAGACTAGTCTGTTCTGTAGAGGGTGAGAAAAGTGAGAGACTTACAAAGAAAGGCAAATAGGAGAGTCAGAGAAATATGTCAGGTGGTGTTCCATTTCCTGCTCAGTCCCTCCCTATGGACTGACTTCCTTCTTGTCTATGAGTTCCAAGAAATCCTTGTGTGTCTTTGATAATAAACTCATCTTTTTTGCTCGACTTGTTCCTGATATTTGCAACCAAAATTATAATGGAACAAATTATTTGAAAAAGTAATTTGGGAATGTTTTCAAGAGCTTTAATAAGTTCATAAACCTGAAATTCAGTACTCCCTCCTTCTAAGAATCTATTCTAAGGGGGGCACATTCAAAACAATTTTATGGATATTTTACAAAAACATATATTAAAAAGGCATTTTGGACAAAAATATTATTTGCATTGTTATTTATAAAAGTGAAAATAGAAAGCAAAGTAAATACTCAACAACAGAGAAATGGTTAAATTATAACAGACCTTATGATGCAATATTGTGCAAGCGTTAAAACCATTTCTAAAAAACTGGTAATAAAATTGGTAAAGAATATTTTATCATATTAAGTGAGAAGACTATAATAGAAACATGGCTTTACCCCTATTTTAACTGTAACATTCTCATTTGCATTTCATGGCACAAATAAGTTTTTTTTTAGTTATTAAAAATTTATAAAGAAATTATAATTTTAGAATTTTAAATATCATGACAAAATACTGGTAAAGTTTTGTGTTGTTGTCCAGGTTTGATGGTGCTCCTTCAATATCTATCATTTGTTTGATATACTTTACCAATGTATTCCAATGACTAAAAACAATAGAAAATTATTTGGGGCAGTTTTCAAATCCTATTTTCTCTAAATATCATTCAGCTTTTTAAAAATGATTTGTTGTTGTTGTTGAGAAGATACACAGCAAAACATACATCAATTCTACAGTTTCTACATGTACAGTTTAATGACATTGATTACATTCTTCGAGTTGTGCAACCATTTTCACCCTCCTTTACTGAGTTGTTCCTCCTCTGTTAACATAAATTCCCTGCCCACTAAGGTTCCTATCTAATCTTTTCAGTTGCTATTGTCAATTTGGTCTGATATAGGCAGATCTTAAAACAGCATAATGCTCAAGGCAAACATTCTTTACTAGTTAAACTAAACCATTATTTGGGTTTAAGAAAGCTTCAGGGGATATTTTTGCTTATTTTTTAATGCTATTTTCAATAAACTTATTTTTATATTCTTACCAAATTTCCTTTATTAACACATTGCAAAGCCACTTTTTTGTATATATGAAGTCTGAAAAGTATAAATTTTGCAAGAGTGTAACAAATATGTTTGATTCTCCAAAACCTTGTTCTCTCATTAGAGAAGACTAATAATATAGCATCAATGACACAGACTTTGAAACTGTGAAATATGTCAATAAGTATTTTCAGGCAATAGCTAATGATTTGAGTAACCTTATAACATCTTTCTCCAAAATATCAGTTGGTTATTAACATTAAGTTGTTCAAGTTTCAATTGAAAAAGAAAGGACATTCTTGTCAATATTAAGGAGCCCTGGTGGCACAGTGGTTAAGAGCTATGGCTGCCAACTAAAAGGACAGCAGTTCGAATCCACCAGCGCTCCTTGGAAACCCTACAGGGCAGTTCTCCTCTGTCCTGTAGGGTTGCTATGAGTCAGAATCCACTCAATGGCAATGATTTGGTTTGGTTTTGGTCAATATTAAGATTAAATTAAGCACAAAGCAACTAATTCCAAGTTATCTTGAAACATTACATAGAACAAAACTTCGAAGAGTCAAATGAAGCATGCTTATGTCATTGATGTCTGTGCCTATCAGATTAATTCTGTTTGCTATATTACCTTAATATACGTGCTAAAAAGAGTATTGCATTCACTTATTTATATGTAAAAATCATGATCATTGTAAAAATTTTGATGCTATTTATCTTTGAATCAATTGTTTGCAGTATATATATTTTCTTCATGCTCATATAATGTCAATATATTCTGTGTAGAAAATTTGCATACAGTACTACCATGGTTCGTGCAGACTCCATAGCTGACTGGCTAAGATCAGAGGCACTGCTGCAGCCTAACTTAATGAGGATAATACGGTACAAAACCCACAGAGGTCTTGTGAAATTTGCATGACGCAACAGTAGAAAGTGCCTAGAATAGTGCTGGCATCTAGTAAGGGCTTACTAAATGTTAATCTTTGATGAGTTAACTGCGATCCATGAAAAAAATACTATCATGTATGTTCATCTTCTCTGCATATCATTACAATTTCATTCAGTATTTTTCCATTTATAATGCAAATTGGTTGTCATAATTTCTCAAAACTTCACATCAGTAATTAACAATACATTCACTCATATTTAGTCTTATATGCTTCTCTCAATATAAAGTTAAATATTAATAGCTTCTTAAAATTATGTACAGTGAAACCTGTGAGAGCCAGAAGTCAACTGGACTGCTTTGTTTTTCTGGGTCTCGAAAGTTCCCCGCCTTTATGAGGATGCAATCACCACTCAAAAATATTTTGAGTTTTCCTTCTCTGACAAGTTTCTGCCTTACACAAGTTCCGGCTTTCACAGGTTTTACTGTATATGCA